GCAATATAATGATAATTTAGAGTGCATACAAGAACCACATAAAATTAATGTAAAAGATAGATATTGTAGTCCCTGAAGTTTTACTGATTCAATTGAAATTAATATCAGAACTGTCTGCTATGAAATTACAATCGTTGGATATTGATTAAAGAAGTGATTACAGTCCCTCCTGCGTGTAGCTGGGGCGGCTGGAGTAACATTATGCAAAATGTGTCTAACAAGTGATCACAAATGTCTGGATAATAATTTGTTTTGCATTGATACCAATGATACAACATTTACAGCCCCCTATCTCCTACAACTCCCAACCCACAAATTTCAACAAGTACAATTCTTTATCTGAGCATGATAATCTGAAACATCAAAAACCATGTTTGAGCGATTTTTATTTTTTTTTTTTTTATTTTTTGTCCTTTTGCTACTGGACCGATTTTCGAAAACTACAAACCCTTTCATCCTCAACATACTAGTAACCTTATGTGCTAAAGATTAGCGGACAGACAGATAAGCCGATGGAAATAAGTATCATATCTTATCTTGATGTAAATATCATATAGCATCCAAATAACATGTTTCATTTTCGAGGTAATGTGAGGCCTCAAGAAGTCATCAAAAGCTTGACTTTTGGCTAATATTTTGACTTGAGCTTATACAGCAAACGGATAACATGGAGACTATATTGTTACCATATTTAGTACATGAAAGCGGTAATTTTTTCGTCATTTGACCTAAACACAAGCACATTGGGCAACAGACAATTTAATTGTACGTAGTACACATCGCATCATCCATCCGCTTGAATACAAAAAAGCAGTCCAACACGTGGGAATCCTCGTATTCTCAGATTTCATACGCAATTCGGAAGACACGGCACGGCAAATGCTCTGATTGTTTCCAAATTCGATCGTTCGCGTTTTGCAATGATTCTCAGCTTTGCGTTGGTTTATTTCCAATAAAAATTCACACATAAAACGTAGATATGGAACACCGATATTCAGCACTCACATGCAAATAGCTTTTCATTTGTATTCAGGTTCAGACAATCTAGTAACATTTAAAAATGCTTCTTCGCTGAAGATTCATGTACAAACAGTTTGACTTGAAAATTAGAATCGATTAGATTAATTTTGTATCCCTCAGGAATTAGTGTAAGTCCAGTATTGAGGTTAATTACGAGTATTTTAAAACAGAAAAAAATCACATTTCGGTTAAAATATTAGGCGAGTTGCCCGTATATCCCAGCACTTTTGGAAATTTAATGTTACGTTTATAAAAAATTAAAGTTCTTGGTCCTATCTTGAAAACGGTGCAATGGCCGACTAACGGTGCTCTGCACGACCCAAAAATGCATTATAAGCTTAGTTATACACTGACAGGAGAGTTTCATAGCTGATTGTTATCTGTGCTTATACTATTACATTGGCTGTAATAAACTACTTGTATTCTGAGATTATTTACGTCATCCTTGCACACATTTAAGTGATTGTCCAGTTCAGAAAGATGCAATTTGTTACCGAAAAAAATATTTCCTTTCCAGCAAATGTCAAGTGAGCTATGCAGACTCGAATCCTTTTACTTATAGTCTGGGATCTCATGCATCACAGTGTCCATCAAATTATGTTAACTAATGGAAATTCGAGAGTCTATACAACTTTGGACATTTGGATAAGGTCGCAAAGAGGTGTCAACAAGTCAGAGATACAATCTTTTGCCGATGATACGCAGCTCACCCACTACTTTAATATAGATAATATACAGGACATGATGCTCAAAAAGGGTAAGCTCTAAAAATGAAAGGCTCTGTCTATTTTCAAGGTGTCGTCGTCAGGATTACGCAGCTCGAATGGAGTTTTAGTAGAGTAGTTCTAAATAAAGTGAGTGAAGACACTACTTTCCTGGATAAGGTTCTTTTTACCGATGATGCATACATGTTGTCAACGGGCATAACATGCACTATTATGCGACGGAAAACCCTTAGTTAGGCAAATATATTTTCAAAATAAATGGAACTTGAATGTTTGGGGAAGAGTTATTGGCAGACAAGTTATCGGGCCTTTCTTTTTCGACAACAGATTAACAGGTACAGAATATTTGAATTTTTTGATCGAGCATTTGCCTTTGCTTTTGGAGGATGTCAACCTGCAAACTTGGATGCATATGTACTTCCAACATGACGGCGCACCTGCGCATTATCATAATCGTGTGCGTAACTATTTGGACGCCTGGAGTAACAACCGTTGGATCAGTCGTGATGGGCCTATATCTTGGCCTCCTAGATCATCAGATATGACACCGATGGACTTCTTTCTATGGGGCTACGTTAAGCAAGAGGTTTATAGATACCCACCATCTACCCTGGAAAATATGAAGGCAAGAATTAAGGATTCTTTTATGAACATAAGGAAATACATGCTGAGGGATGCGCAACGGTCATTTATCCAAATAGTACGGGTATAGTTGGTTTTCTCTATTATGCTTGAAGCTGATTTATACTGTTCTGATTGTTATTAGTTTTTACGTCAAATCTGTATTCTTAGTGGCAATATGGAACTAGCCCATGGTTTGTCTTTTGTTTCCATGTATGATGTGATTTTTTCCTTTTTTTTGTGTTGTTCTATTAAAAGCTTAATAACTCAAAATCTAGTGATTTTATCTGAATCAAACCTTATACCAAAAAAAAAGGTTATAAAAAATTGAAGCCAAACTTCCACAAATATTCAGGATGATGTTTTGAAATTTTTGAGAAAAAGTACAATTGGCGTTTTTGACCACCCTGTATGAGAATAAACGAAAATTGGAAAAAATAACAAATAACATTAAAGCTGAAGTATGTAAGTTTCTTTTATACAAAATTCAGCACCCCAAATTTCAAAATGGCGGATTGAGGGGTTGCCGAAATGGACGGTTTTTCTGGACAAAACACCTTACATCTCAGTAGCTAATTACTAAAACCCCATAGTATGTTATATCAATTTTCTTATTTTGAATTGGTTTATCCAAATATGTAATAAAATTTGAGGCATTCCATTTGCTAAAAATCATAACTTTGATATGTAGGTCAACATTGGGACACCCTGTATAATTGCCAATATTTTAGAAATGTGACCTCAAATATCATGTATAACATGCCATAAATAGATTTTCCCAAAATGAATTTGTTTACGAGTAATATTCCGACCACACATGGATGGGCCGGCCACCCTGTATAACAATTCGTACCTAATTTGTATCATGATTTACCTTGCTCTATGTCATCAAGCTACCTCAATCCATACGTTTGGTGATGGTACGTTTTAGGGCCTATGTTATATGAAACATTTATATCATTTCTTGGGATACTTTCTGGATTAGAAAAATCACCATTGTATTTCAGTAATCTGGTAAACTATACAACGGTAATGTTTGCAACATTTCAGCATGACAGGTGGGAGTCTCGGACTATTACTGAACTTATAAACGGTGAATGGATATGGGATAGTCGATATATCATGTCTCTTCACCTCAAATGATCTGTTACACTTAAATGCATAATCTCAATTATCTACGAACTTTTACTTGTACTGTTATATAACGCGAGGTATAATAACTATAAACAGTTGTTACTTATGGCGCTTGTTTCTGATTGACCATTGTAAATAATTATAGAAGAAGCTTAGAGTAATACGTGATTTTTGAAATTCTCGCTGTATTAAAAAACTCTGATTTGCAGGTATTGATATACTTATAATTTTACACAAGTTTACACCATGCAATGGAAGTAGTTCTTGAAAATGGGTACAGTGAGGCGGAGACAAAGGCCAAAAACATAAAAAATCAAAATTGCTCAAACTTCGGTTTTGACGTTTCAGAAGCCCCTGTTCATTTTCAGAAACATTTTTGTAGTTGGGATTGCAGGGGGTGGAGTTGTAAATGCAGATTTTTGTTATCAGTGAATGACGTTCTTCCTGAATGTTCTTCGTAATATACAGAATAATATACAGTCGTATCAGCCAGTTATGGAAATACGAAGTTCGACACGGTTAGGATGGAAGGCCGATATCAGCAGGGTCTGTCTCGCTGGCACATCGCGCGGTGGCATCATGGAAGAGAGCTCTGGGGAGCAGAGCCCGTTGGTCTAACGCTAGAAGAGAACTAGATCGCCCACGGAACCGCAGTGTGTCTTAGATTTCTGTTGTTGTCTGTTCCTTAATCTATAGCCTCCTTGTAACACGTAAAGTGCACCTTTGACGATATTTTAGAGAAGGTGACTACTTTGCTAGGAACGAAAAAGCTTTGTAGGTTTGAAAATTGAATCAGAGACGGCGAAACTACTTAACAACAACAAAAATCGCTGAAATATCGCGTTTTGATGTTTCAGATATACCAGGACATGTTCAAGAATTTTAAGAAGTGGTTGAATATTGAGGTTTGGGGTTGTGGGCTTGAATGATTGTAAATGTTAGATTTTCGGTATAAAAGACATTCTGTTATTAAGAATGCACTAATATCACACATATTTTCCATACATCTACCATTGACACAGGAATGTATATATTTCATAGTTTGAGATGTAGAGGTTCACGATACATAGTACTTAAGTGAACATAACTCCATGTTTCCCTTTGAAATTTGCGAATTTGAACGATGGGGTGGGAAGTATAGGGTCAATCTACTTGACGTAATTTCACGTGGTTTTTACATTTATCAATCAGCCTCAGTTATATTCTTCTTTATATTTTTCATTTAGGTGTATCACCGCCAACAGGGTATTTATCTAGAAAGCTAATTTCACTTTATGTAAGCAATTTTGGCAACTCCTGAACACGATATATAAAATAAATAATCAGTTATCATTATTTGCAATTTGTGACCTGATATCCCATCTACAAAATATTCCATAATGCTCCAGTAATCCAATAATCTCAGCAAATTTTAATAATTACCAAGCACTTATCTGATTCAGGGTTGGTAATATGAATAAATGTATATGTAGAGTGTTTACGAGATTACATTGATTAGATTACCATATTGCCCTTTCTGAGTTTGAAGGCCCTTGCAGTTTGTGACAGGAAGCTGATTCAGAAACTCTATCCAAATGAAGATCCATTTGTATTTGGTTCTGCTTTCCGTGGCTACTGCGTGGTGTGAAGAGATGGTACGTATATTGTATATACAGATTACCTATAATCCCGGAAGATTTCGGTCTCGAAAGTCCGGGGATTCTCTCGCGATGTGAATCCGACTGGGAAACGGGTACCGCAAGATCTTGCCTCAGTTCTTCTGTCACTTTCGAAACTAAGTATAACCAACTTTATTGATAAAAATACGAATTTGAATTGCGCTTAGAACTTCAATGCTCGTGCTCAAACTACCGCCTATTTTTTTCGTTCTTTGCCTTTAGCTGCGCCGCTACTGGACCTTCCACAGTATACTCGGCTCAAGGATTACCAGAAACACCTACAGACAGACTGACCGAACTTAGTGATGTGGTTTTTCGTATATACTCGTACGTCATGTAACATCCAAAAAATATAAAATCTCATTTTCGAATTTTTTTCGATCGGAATATTTACTCGTCAAAGGTGTGGGAAGTAAAAACAAGGAAACTACTCTAAGTAAATGAAATCAAAGGATACACTTTTAAAAGCAAGCTTTTGTTTAGCTATTAATAAAATGACCTGCAAATTTAAAAATATTTTGTTCCGGAAATATTTTAACCATAATGAAGCTCTTTTATGTCAAGTTTTCGAATCAAAGGATGTTGCACCCTTTTTCCACCCTGCTGGAAAAACTAACACGCCTTTGAAAACTTGAGATGAAGGAGCCTGCTCATGGCTTAAATATTTCCAATCGAAAAAAAAAATATTTTTATTAAATGATAAGCTCGTTTTATTAATATCCAAATAAAGCTTTTTAGAAATGTGTGTGTTTTTCAGTATTTACGGTGTCAAATAAGTAGTTTGGTAATTCCTATATAATTTCCATATATTTTATTAATAGGACGCGATACAACTTCTTAATTAATTTGTATTATACTATAAAACTTCGATAGGTATAAACCGTATAATTATAAATCGATATGGCCATGTAGAAATTTAAAATGACGTTAGTTGCTCATTGTGTTTATTTGATTGAGCCCCTTCACTTGCTACCCATATCATAGCGGTAACAATGTAAATTATAAATTTACATTTTTGCGAGAGCGCGCCATATTGGATTCAGACGTTACGTTGCCTGTTATGTTTCTTCCATCAGACCGTATAATTTGATAATCATATGATAGTAGTGGCTTTGGTAACGATAAACGCCATCTTGTGGCGGCGCCATATTGGATTTATAATGGCGTAGTCTCTTAGGTAAGGGATGCCGAGGTCTCTGTGAAGGGTCTCGTTGGAGACATACCACGGTGCGTTAGTGAATGTTCGCAAGGTTCTGTTCTGCAAAACCTGCAGATTACGCATATGCATTTTAGCAAGAAAACACCATGCTGCACTTGCGTAAGTGATTGCTGGTCTGATAACCATCTTGTATAGCCGAACTTTGTTAACCAAACTTAATTATGAGGTTCTACATAGCAAAGGCAAGAGTTACCGAAACGTAATTTGGAATTTAGTCTTTAACGCTTCAGTGTGATACTGCCAGGTCATCCCCCTGTCAAGAGTGACACCGAGATACTTAGCAGAATTTCGCAGTGGTATGCAAGGTCCATTCACTGAAACCTCAGGCGGGGCGCCGCTACGTTTTTTAGTACCATAGATAGCCTGCGTTTTCGAGTAGTTAATTTTGATTAGCAACCGATCTGCCCATTCCAATACCTCATCCACCGCACTTTGTAACCTGTCGTGAACCAGATTTTCGGTACGCGACTGGGCCACCAGTGCAGTGTCAGCATATAGATAGACTTCACAGTCGCTAGAGCAAGGGACAGCATGCGTGAAAAGTGAGTAAAGGATTGGACCTAGAGCCGAACTCTGAGGGACGCCGGCTCTGATGGGCCGTGCTGTCGACAAGAAATTATTCATTTTGATCTGAAATTTCCTACCTTCAAGGAAGGATTTCAAAAGTTTTAGGAGCCAAAATGGAGAACCCTTTTGGATTAGTTAATAGAGAAGGCCCTTGTGCCACACCTTGTCAAATGCCTTCGAGACATCCAGAAGCAAGATGCCAGTACTTTCGTTAAGGGTGAAGCCCCTGGTTACTCGCTCCACAAGCCTAACCGCCTGTAACTCCGTGCTATGCTCAGACCGAAATCCAAATTGCACGTCAGGAATCACATGGTGATCTGACGAGGAATTCGCAAGGCAGACAGTAGGCTGATGGGACGATAGTCCTGGGGAAATATCGAACCCATCTTCTTTGGAATCATTATAACAGTCTTCCACACCGATGGAAAGGCAAGGCATTGATATAGCCACGAGATAAGTCAAGGACTTCCGTGAAAGCAGCTTCAGCGCCTTATTAGTGATTTGATCTTCCCCAGGCGCTTTACGCACCTTGAGGTCTTTAATATGACCTTCAAGCTCTGCTGGTGTGCAATGCGTGATCTCGAGAGAAGCCGCGGATGTGCTGTGCAACTCTTCAGCTGAAGAATCTTCCGAAAAATAATCTTCTGAGGAAGAATCACTAATGGCAGCGCCGGGATCACTGACGCCGTTGGCCCTAAAATATCTCCTGACGGATCTTACAATTTGTTGCTCGTCGTCGAGATCATTATCAAGATCGTAGTTGGGAGAGAACTGTCGTTCCATAGCATCAGCGAAAACCTCGACCTTGCCCTCTGTCCTAAAGACTATGCCCCCAAGACCGTGGATGTGCGGGAGTTGTTCTCGCTTTCCGTTTCTGAGTGACTTCGCCACTTTCTAGAGAGAAGTACTTGAGTCAAGCTTCCCTGACAGAAAGTCGTTCCATTGCTCACTGCGGAATTCATGGAGAGCATTTCTTTCTTCATGAACAAGATTCGTCGCTCTGCGAATGTCATCAGGAAGAATGGCGTGATCTTGCTTGTTATGTTTCTCTCATCCAGCCCTGTGATTTGATACTCATATCATACGGGTTACTATGGAAATGATAAGTCGCCATTTTGTGGTGGCTGTTAATTCATTTTGTATTGTTACACAAACCAAACGCATGTACAAAATTCCAGCTCAATTGGTTTAGATTAACTCGGGGGTTAACTGGTTCAAAATTCAATTCCAAGATTTGTCCCACATATGTATACTAACACAAAAGCTTCCAATATAATCCCTTAAGTCAAATCTCTATTTCTTGAAAATTGCATATATCCCTCTCTGTCCTACGTGTCTACCTTTAAAGTAGGAGTTTGAAGACACTCGTGTGTAATGTTTGCTTCTAGGTATGTCATGAAGACTATAATTTTATGAGAAGCTGGCCTTCAACCAAGGCCAATTCTTGTAATGCTTCACATCCACATTGCATCGATACCCATGAGGAAATCAAAAGGAGATGTTGCGGTGCGGACGCCACGTGGGATCCAGAACCAGTTTGTTCAACTGTCCAATACAGCTTCGCATCATCCTGGCGCAGACAATGTCCTTACGGAGCTGATCCTACATCACAATTCTGCATTTTTTTCATTCGAAACACTACTTACCCTTTTAAATGTCCATACGAAGAAGTTTTACCATTTGCTGAATATGTAGGCATCACGAATAGATATAACCATCTCCCAACTTGGGTGCCTGCGGAGAGAAATGAAAATCAGTACGGCGACGGTAAGTATACGACACAACTTATAAATCTTTGCGTTCCAAGATTTTATATTATCCCAGGAATAAGGGCTTCCTCCTAAGGAGGGAATTTATAAAAAGTGTCTGGGAATTTCCCGGTTGTTTTATTTTATGATTGAAAGAACCAAAAATCGTAATTATAATTTGTTTTCAATTTGATGCTAGAAAGTATTTCCAATTATTTTTATTACAAGATTTAAGATTACCTCAAAAGAGAAGAGAATAATTTTATTAGTAATTACTTGAGTATTTCATTTGTTATGCTGGAAGCTTAAGTTGATTTTGTCAATTTTTTCAAAGATTGTTAAGTAAATCGTTCGCTGTTTTATTTTTATTATAAAAAATAGTCAAAATTTCACTTAAATGTTTGGCGTCGGTTATTTAGGTGATGGCAGCTCTATCCAGGATCCTACGAAATGTACAGTTTGACAAAGTTAAAAGTTCGCCTCTTGTTAGTTTAACAAATAAGGTCGACTGTTTAAACCTAAAGCCCAAGGTTTGAATTTTACTTTAGATGCTTAAAAACCTTAAAAACTTTTTTATAACCAGAGTTTTCACGTATTGAAAATGCCAATTCTTAGGGACCTTTAATCGTTGCTAATTCGAAAACAGTCAACTATCTCTATAGAAAAGTCGTTAAGAAGTCTTTAGTAATGTAATTTCCAGATTGCTGCGCTTTTCAAAACCGTATTCATGGCTATTTCTGGTGATCGATCAAACCCTTCAATATCACAGTATTTTTTCAAATTTCAGTATGCATCCAATTACGTCACTTTTTCGCTTCGAACAAAGTTTTTCTTAGGTTTTAGTAAAGGTACTAAATAACTTTTTAAAGCTGACTGTATGATCGTAATTAATTATCTGAAGAACCCTAAAAATGCCGATTTTCATTGCATGAAAGCTCGAATAAGAATTACTATCTTGATGCCTACCAAGTGTACAAATTATAGTTTAAGCCTTCCACAATAAAACCCTTAAGAACATTTGAGACCTACAAGAAGGGATCGGAAATCAGATTTCGTCCAAAAAATCCTGGACGTATGTGAACGCATAACAAATGCGCATTGGCAGGGGTTGGCCAACGTTGACGCTGAATGATAGCATATCATTCAATGTTCGGGCCAACGTTGACTCCAATGTGCGAATGCGAAATTAACAGCATTTCGTCCAATGCCTTTTGGTTCCAGAGATTATGACCAATTTTTTTTATGCTCCAACTACCTCGAAGGCCTAATGTCTAAACACCCATGAGGTACCGTGGGGTTATAGAGTGATACAGGGGAAAGGGGGGGACGCCACCCCCACGGACTCTAGGGAGGGAACACGCATATATGCAGCATGCACACATATTGGCCTCGCCTATGAGGTCCGCCGGATGGTACCTCCGTGTTCGACAGACAGAAAACGTCTACCGCCTACGATGAAGAGCTCTCTACTGATTTATTATTAAAAAATACTGGTTTTTAGAAACTCATTACATGGTTTAACTGCTTTATCTTTATGAGTACCAGGTTCGAACAATGCTACGTATTTTTTTATCATTTGGGTTTTGTCAAGTTTCTTATGCATTGCTTTTCAATCCCCCCTTCCACCATTACTGGGTCAGTTAGCAAGCTCAGATTTACAGCGATGGAATTGGTGCATGAATACTATATTTTGACGTTAAGTTAATGGTCAAATCTTTTTTTTATACGGGAATGGGAGTTATGTGCTACTTCATACTGAATTACGTTACCAGTAATCCATAGCTCTATAATATAGATTCAATAAGAAATGTGTATATGAATGTGCAATAAAATATGAGACATTTAAAAAACCTGATTTGGATTTTGGATATCTTTTAACGAAGTGTTTCATACTTTTGCTACATATTCGCTATATATTTTCAGGAGTACCAAATTGATATACTGTACCACAGGAGAAAAAGTTGCTGATAATATAATCCAGATAGTTGATAGCAATTTCGTTACTTTCGACGACGAAATAGCTGATGAATTGTTATACGTAGAACATGTTTTTTATTTATCTAAACATTTATTTTTGAATCCAAAAATTATACTTCTAATGTTCCTAATACTCGTAAATATGGGCAACGGTCTTGTATAAGCCAACCGAAAATAACAATCTTCTAACAAGGGCTGTAGTCTTGAAGATATCAGTGAAGCGGTGAAAAAAGTCATTCAACAAACGAGTTCCACAAAACTTTCTCTAGCGCAGCGTCTCCCTCTTTTCATGATGATTACCGTCCAATTTGGATAAATATGGTCACATGTCACTAAAAGCTACGCTATTTGCAAAACATTTGTAAGAAATTATGTGATTTAAAGAAACATAACGACAAACAATTATGATAAATAAAATGCAGCCCTAATTGAGCATAGAGCTTATTAAAATAGAGCAGATAGGCTACGTCATGAGTTCGAATTCTTGAACGTAATTAGATCACTCTGATGCTCTGTATTTGAGAATCCGTCTCGAACCAGGAAGCATAGGACGAAATGCTGTAATCTAAGAGTTTTGAGGTGTAGACCTAGGCTACAGAAGCATTTCGGACGAAATCCGTGTTCCGGTCCTGGAGAGACCCCTCCTTGTTAGTATACTTCAACCTTGCTTGGTAGGCTAACAAATGGCGAACTACATGGGTTTCTAGGCTAGGCTTAAATATTTTCCAGGCCTGTATCTGTATACAGAACCAAGTGAAATGTACGGACTCGCTCTTTCGAATTACACTTTTGAAGAACCTTTTGGTGACAAACGCTGTATGATCTATCATCATACCAATGGCTTTGAAGCAGTACCATGTTCTACTCCACACATAGGTGTATGTGCGTACCTCGCTCTGAATTACACAACTAATAGCTACTGCTCCAGGATGTTTGAGGTAAGGCTCTGTGAAAGCAGAGTTTTAAAAATAAGGGAGAAAAGATGAGGCATTCCAGTGAATGATCATTGGTGCATACGCAAGCTAGTGAGTCTAGTAAGCTAGTGAATATTTTCCACTAAATTTGAGCTATATGTCAAGTGTCACAATAATGTGTGCTGAACATAGGATTGTTCCCATTTTTGTTGTCAAAACTAAGATACATGTTAAACATTGACACAGAAATGTCACTTTTTCTCCCGGAAATCTGAGGATTGCTTATATTTAGTTCTAAAAATTGAGTAACTTGTATTGTGGTTTTTGCAATTATTCTCTCACGAGAATGTCATGTGAAATTTTACAATAGCTTTTATAATTATCGCGACGGCTTTCGTCAGTTTTTTTAAATATCTTTTGCAGAGCTCATAATGATATAAATAGTAACCACATTCTTACGAGACACATAGAGGCGCAGTGGGGCTCACCAACTGGTCTATGCACCTGTTACATTGACTTGCTGCTTCAATTCTTAATCACTCATTCCATGTTATTCCAGACATGTGTTTCCAGCGATTACCCTGCAAATTCTAAGTGTTTCTGCTTATCTGAGAATCTGAGAGACGGACAAGCAGAGTTGGCGGAATTTTTGAAGCCCTATCAGAATTACTTCCGTTCGTTACAAAGAAATTGTCTAATAGGGTTAGAACAAGTAGATGATGAGTATATCTGGATTAGTAGTAAAACGAAACTCAACTATACGGAATGGGCAGACGATGCGATCTTTGGCGATTCAAGAAAATACGGAGCTCTTACTGAAAAAGGTATTTTTTTGTAAAATATGTACCTCTTTTACCTTTTTTCGTCCCTTATAGTTTCGTCAATATTTTGTTGCAAATACCAACAAAACCTGTTCAGAGTAGCAGAGACAACAAATCAATGATATATCCTGGCAACGTGTTAAACTGGACTGGTCCACTGTAAGTCACCGTTCCGGACTATCAGAAATTAATTGTTGGTAAGAGCCTATGTAGGCCGAGAGCCTGGCTTGAGGAAGCGAAAAAGCTCTTTAACCCTTTGTGTCCGGAATTAAATAATTTTAGAAATTTCACTTCATAAACCTAGTTCCGAACCAAAAAGATGTAAAAAAACGTCAAACATTTTGTGAAAAAAATGTATTACACATATTTTTTTGAAAAAGTGGTGGTCACCCGAACGAGCCAGTAGGACCACCAAACAAAAACTTTTACCAAAGAAAGAAAGCATTATCTTTCCACAACATGAGGCTAATGGACATTATGGTATGCAAGAAAACAGTTTCTCTTGTCATTCAGGCATAAACCTACATCGCAAATCGTGCAACTCCACATACTCCTATGAGCTTCCTTTTTTGTGCTGCAGATGGCGCATCGTCTGGAAGTTCCATATATATAGTCAACGCCAAACAAAGTGGCGTGCACGTCATCACGATAAAAATTCCCCGACCTAATGCCTAGGTTTCTATCACAAACAATTGCTCTATTGCAGTTTCATATTAATGTGATATATAAATTGTAAAATGGTCATTACTCTCTTATTATGGTTAATAGTCATATAAACATTGTTATTAAAATATCACATAAGTTGCTTTCTGATAAATTTAGACGCATTATGCGAAATAAAATGTTTTGCAAACGCTCCAATCACTTATCGACATGTAAACGCACTAAACCGATTTCGCAGCGTTGACACATTGTCACCTTGAAACTTATTTAAACTGGGAACTGACATTTGTATTAATTTTGACACTGAATCAATTTGTGGCATTTCAAATCTTTATAAATCCCTTGGCCCCGCATACTGTAAATCAACAACTGTTTGTTTCAAAACAAAATTATTCATTTTACGAGTAGATAAAGGCAATTTTGGTATATAAAGATGCCCAAACAGTTAAATAGTCGGTGTAAGGAACTCGTGGCCTCGTTAATGCACTACTTTGAGCAAGAAAGGGACAACAACGGGCCTTTGTTGCCTTTAAATGCTGTTCAAGAGGTAGGTTACTAATAATTATATGTAATGTATATTAATAATAGTGAAATTTTATTTCATTTTTTGTAGCGTGTTGCTGCTGCTTTAAAAATTAGTTTAAGGACAGTTAGTCGTATTTCCGAGGGCGTGAAAAGTGATGCAAATTTAGAATCGCCCAAGAAAAAGCGGAGTTATATTAAACGTGTAACCAACACAGCGACATTGGATACAAGTGCCATTCGAGAAGTGATCTATAATATGTATCACAAAAGTAAGATATTATAATAACTTATCAGAAATTTGCATTAATTTGTTAACTAAATTATAATGTCATATTACACATGGTTTCAGAAGAACAAGTTACGATACAAACTTTATGGTCTCGATTAAGAGATAGGGCATTATTTGATGGTAGTGCCACGTCTTTAAGGCGGTTGCTTAGAGATCTTGGATTTAAGTGGCTTAAGGACAATCCGCTACGAGGGCTCATGGAACTACCAAGTATAGCTTTGAAAAGGGTGGAATTTCTAAGGCAATACAATCAAGCCAAGATTGAGGCCTTATACCAGTTTGTCTTCCTCGATGAAACTTGGATATTTCAAAATGGGACCATAGGTCGCTCTTGGCAAAATGGAAACCAAAAAAGCGTGAAAGCTATTAAAACACAATTTGCACTATAAAATTTAAAACTAATATATTTTAGATACATTATATTACATGCTGGAAATGAAAATGGGTTTATTGAGGGTAGTGAAGCGATATTTTCTTCGAAATTGAGCGATTACCATGGAGAGATGAACCAGGACAATTTTTTGAAATGGTTTCAACATCAGTTATTAGAAAAATTGGAGAGTCCATCTATGATTATACTGGATAACGCCCCTTATCACAGCATGATATTGAACAAAGTGCCCAACAATGCATGGACAAAAAAAAATATCCAAGAGTGGTTCACAAATCAAAACATACCATTTTTAAACACAATGTTTAAAACAGAGCTATTGAGTATTGTTGCTCGGTACATAATGCTTCTTAATTATATATATTTTGGTCGACAGTTTATATTTCTTTTGTTTATTCCTATTCTTAAAATAACTGCTTTTTTAGAAACAAACCACCTAAAATATACGTGATTGATAAATTGGCGGAACAACATTGGCACAAAGTTCTTCGTCTGCCTCCTTACCATTGTATATTTAACCCTATTGAGTTAATTTGGGGCATAGCAAAAGGTTACTATAACAGACATATTGGTAGAGATGGTAACAGTGAAAAAGACTGTTTGGATATGTGGAACGAGGCTCTACAAACGGTTACCCCAGACATGTGGAAAAATAGTGTTCGACATACTGAGCAAGAAATTTTTAAATGGTATGAAAGAGAACGAATTTTTGATCGACCAGACATCGAACCTTTAATAATCAACTTTGAGAGTGATGAAGATTCAGATTCAGACAGCGCTGAAGAAAGAAACTCCGACTAACTTTATTGTACAGAAAAAGCTTACACCAGTAGCTTACCTAATTTTAGAATGCATTTTTCTGTATGAATTCTGTAAAATAAATACCATGCATAAAATTTGGAGGACCCCATTTGGATTTTTATTCAGTACCTTTAAGTTATCAATTAAATATGGTAGTTTCATAGTGTCATCTGATCAATAATTGTCATACTTAATGATTATGCAAGTACAGATCTATAATTTTATTATACTATTATTTTTGTTCTCATTTGAGGTTAATATTGCTTATAAACCTAGATATGTAAATAATAAATTTTATTATTTTACAAAAAGTTTGGCAACAATGTAAATTTTTCAACACACCCACCTTGATGACGTGCACGCCACTTTGTTTGGCGTTGACTATAGGCATGTGACCAGGTTTTTCTGTCCTTTTTTCAATGGGAACGTATTTTTTATAATGATTTATGGGTTCCATTGATTTTCGACCTTTTTTCTTGGTAATGCATCCCGCCGCAATTAGTCCCGAAGAGACATTTATTCTGAACTGTTTCAAATCGAGAGTCGAACCGCTGCAGCGTTTTTGAAACAAAATGTACGCGTTGACTACCGTAGTATCGACAAAGTGACAAACTATCCTCTGGTACCACTTCTTGCTTTTTCGATCTATCGCGTAGCATTCTTTTAGCATGTCCGCATTATCGAAGGCACCCATATGTTTATTGTAATCCACAACCAAAGACGGACAAGTTACTTCTGACACAGTTCCATCTTTATTCTTTCTATTGATTGTTATGGTAATTTGACAAGAAATAAACAGGTTTTTTGTCTTTCCATTTCAGACATACCAACATATCATTTGTCATTCTCCAGTCATATTGGCCTCGCGCTAGTTTTTTATCATCGATAAAGTCATCTGGCAAATATTTTTTCCCTTTTCTCAAAGTGCCACAACCACATAATTCCATTTTGTTTCAAGTATCTGAGCAGTGGAACACTTGAAAAATAGTTGTCAAAAAAAATTCTATAATTTTGTTGTTGCAAGTCTTTGACTGCTCTTCCTCCTACATCTTTTTGTGGCAAGTCAGAATATATTTAAAATTCGCAAATATACCCTGAATCATCAGCCCGCACCCAAACTTTGTATCCACTCCATTTATTTCTTTCTGTAAAAAAAAAATAAATGACCGTTTGCAGTCCTAGTGGTTACCTCAAGAAACCACTACATATTACATGGAACAAAACCCTGTCAGATGGTAAATTGATCAATTGAGTCGGAAGGTATGAAATATTACAGTTATAAAACTAAATACTGACGTGTCATTTCAATTTTCACTCAGTGTGTTTACGTTTACAAACAGCCGAAAAAAGACAGAGGCGGAACCTTCGCAATGGATAAAGAAACTTCACGGAATACAGACTTCCTCGCACGGGGCAGCGCCGTAAATTTTTTTCCCGATAGATGTCACTATCGGTAATATTTTTAAACCGCGGTAAGGCTACTCGACCACTAGGACTGAAATTACGTGTTTTAATATAGGTGGTTACATGGATCGACCAGTAGAACGGAAAGGGTTAAGAAACCAACTCAAAGAGTGGGTTTGATAACAACGCAAGGAATACTGGAACCATGAATCAACTCTTTATAGTATAGGGTGTAAATTTAGTAGTAGATCAACGGAAGTCAGGTGATAGATGGCCCCAAAACCTATCAAATGAACCCATATATGTGTGGTCCGAAATGTTATAGTTCAGGATATATTTGCAGTTTTGTGAAATTTCGAAAAAAAAAACGGGATAATGAACTTTCAATCGTCATATCTTGCTTTTCTACAAAGTACTTTGCATGAGCTGCTAGAGAATGTGCCTTTGGACGTTTGAAGCCACATCGTCGGTCTCCGCACGTACAGGCGTAAATAACAAATAATCTAAAATCGAGTTACGCCGTAATTTCACAGATTTTTTTGTAGTCTCTTACTTCACGAAGTGACGTAGCTATACAGCTACTGATATACATCAGTTCGCTGCTAAGAATTAAAATTTTCAGAAAATTGCCTAAGTTATAAAATTCCGAAAACAATTTTCACGTACTGGCTTAAATAGATTTACGCCTCTGCGTTAAAACTGGTTCTACATCACTTTAGTCTAACAAAAAGAAACAGCAACGTTCAGACTGAAAAATCAGTATGTCATTTTCAATCTCATTTATTGCTGATTATCGTTCTCTAGCTCTCCAGTAAAATTTGTAAAATGTTAGTTACGCCGGTACGTGCGGAGACCGACGACATGTACGAGTATTTTCAAAGCGATGGTGCCCCATGCCGCTTTGCACGGGATGTACGGCATTACTTAGACAGTGTCTTTCCTGGGCGTTGGATAGGTAGAGGTTGACACATACGATGGTCACCCGATTTAAATCCTGTAGATTTGTTTATACGGGGGTTTTATAAGGGGATAACCTATACATCTGAATATACAAATGTCAACCAACTGCGCCAGAAATTTGTCGAAGCAAAAATAAAAATTATGGAAAACGCAAATTCATTTCAAAGACGAAAGGACAATTTTATCAGAAGGTGTCGCTTGTGTATAGAAAATAATGGAGGCCATTTCGAACATGTTCTTTAAAAGTTAGTTAAATCAAATTATGTTCCACATTTGTCGGTAAATCGCCATAAAGCGCGGCTAACACAATAGCTTGCTTATGTACTTATAGGTGGTATGGATTCTATTGCGTCTACGTCTATCACATCACATCAACGAATGTGACATGATACACTCATTGTAGCAAGCTGACATGTTCAGGGCTTATTCTACATGGATTCATATAGTTTTTACAATACAATGAATAATGAAATACAACCTCAATTTTTTTTACCACCCTCCAAAGTTGAGAGATCGAAGATATTTTTCACAAACAAATTAATTTAAGATTTTTTGCGTTGATGTCTAATAAGCTCTGATAAATAGTGACATAATCATTGCGAAAACAAACTATTAAGCTCAATTAAGAAAAAAAATTATAGCCCCAAACCTAATGGTTTAGTTGTAATTGCGATTGAAAGTTCATTAGTCCGTTTTTTCGAAATTTCATAAAATTGAAAATATCTCCTGAGCTATAAAATTTCGGACCACACATATAGGGACTCATTCGATAGGTTTTGAGGCACTCTATCACCTGACTTCCGTTAATCCACCACTAACTTTACACCATGTATAGTTAAAGGATACCTAATGTCACGAGAAGGAAAGAAGAACATCATTTAAGATCTGAAGAACTGTTTAACAAAACTGAGTGATATGTTAACATTTGTACCGCATTTCTTTTGTGGAATAACCAATGCTTCTAGGTATGTGTGGTAGCCTAATCATTTCTTTTTTGTTTATAGGATGGAAATTGTTGCGCTATAAAAATGAAACCAACTGCATCATATACCAAAAAGACATCCATCTTGAAGACTGTAATCTAGTTCTAACTTATAACAGTGCAAAGAACCAATTTTTTCTGGAAATGAGCAATCCAAAAGCAGTAGTGGTCTCTTCAAATGGAACACCTCTAGTGTTCTGTTTCACAGACGCATCCAGCAATGAACTGGTCAAGCGGTTGAATTTGAATGGCTCTAATACGTTTGGACCAATACATGATGGTCCAGGAAGTTATTGGTGTGAAGCGTTCGTGTATCCAAGCGTGAAAGTTGTTAAATCTAATGCGGTATTCCTGAGGTAATTTGTCGGAGTAATTTCTGAAAACTAGAATTTTTTTAACCGCTCATGCTTGTCTGGACAATAACTATAGTACATGTACTAAGAGAATCTTCTTTACTGTGAACGTTATACAGGGTGTTTCAGAACTAAGAGATCAAACTTCTAGGGGTTATTCAGTGTAACAGTAGAAAACATTTGAGGATAGGGACTCATATCCGGAAAAGTGTCTCTACGGCACTACGGCCCTAAGACGCGTTAAAATTTAGAAAGACGATGAATTGCCTAAATAGGATTTAATGCATTTAATTTTTGCCTTTTTGTATCCCGGATGCTGTCGTTCGGGATAACGTTCTTGATACAACCGCGCTGCTGCTCGTGCATTGCAGCTTGTTGCTCCGTATGCCAAATGCATATCCGCCAATTCTTGATTGGTAAAGTTTTCGATTAGCAACAATTAGTTTCTGTTAAATTCGTGCCAACTTCACAAATACGATAGCACGACTAAGGCGATATGGAATGCAGCTACAAAAATCAATCTCCGTTATCGTTTTTATGGGTCCATATACTCAAATGTTTTCTACTGTTACACTAAATAACCCCTACAAGTTTGATACCATAGTTCTGAAACACCCTGTATATGTGGTGATCTCCTTCAGTACACTGACTTAGATCGTCTTGGCAAAGGTCATCGTAAGAAGACCCACGCTTGAAAATATTCCAAGGATATTTTTTAAGAAAAGGCAAAAATAGGGGCCAAAAGGGCGTATCTTGTGGTACGCAGCTGCCGACAACTCTTGTGTAGCTCGGCAAAAATTAAATGGAGAGAACAATTTACAAAAATTAAATTATTTATGTACAAGTTGAATCAACATCTATCAGATGAGAAATTACTAGGATTAGTTATGTTAGATATAAACTTAATTGACTGAATTGACCTAAGCATACCTCAGTCCAAATGTTGATAGTTTACGAGAATCAGGGAGTCAAAGTTACAATTTTATTTTCTATTTATTCTATTTTATTTCTATTAAAAACCGAAATAGTGCTGTAAGTGGCTATACGGAGTACTTTATGGGAGCAAAGTTGCGCAGGTAAATAAAAAACTAAATCCTTCTGTTCAATTTCTTTTACAACAGGGTTTACATTTGGCTACTCAGCTTGATCAAATAAGGCTTGTGACGTTTCTAGATAACATCTTTGAACAGCAGTTTCCCGATTTTTCGACTCAGATTCCACTCCACATATTGCATATTTTCGAATTGCACACCAAGGAAATTTTTTATTGCATTTAAAATCATTAGAAACGAAAAAACAATCTCTATCGCAACAGGACTGATTAACAAAAAAAAATCTTCCGTTTAAAGTTTTTCTTCGTTGGCCTATTGACTGAAAAAATGAGCACCCTATTTGAACATTGGGGGATATGTACGCCCAAACAATACGTATATAGAATTTGCAGTATAGCAAACATTTGTCATATACTAAGTGACATATAAATCCGAACACCCAGTTTAAATGGTTTTATTTTAATAAAAGTTGGTGAATGCATTTATCTTACTGTAAATAACAAGTGAAAAAATTTTCAGCCTTATCAGTTGGACATTCCGGTTTTTATACTGCTTTTTTTTAATTCACTAACGCTCTAAAAATGAATAGTTCAGCCGCAGTAAAGAATCAACGTTGGCGGATGTTGGTTCTTGACATCCTTTACGATCGGTTACGATGCCTAGAGTACGGAGACCTGTACGATTTCGTCAACTTAGTGAGTTTGATAGGGGCCGTATAGTAGGACTTCGGGAAGCTGGACTTTCTTTTCGGGCAATTGCAGTTAGAGTGCAAAGAAGTGTAGACACTGTGGTTAGGTGTTGCCAGGCATGGCTTCGAGAATGCCGTACGCAAAGAGCAAGGGGCACTGGACGCCGCCGTAGAACAACAGACCGTGAAGATCGCCGCCTAAGATTATTGGCTTTAAGGGACCGTTTCTCCACTACCAGGTCCATTGCAAATGAATGGTTTGCAGAACACGGAAGACCTATTGGCATGCGAAGTGTTTACCGACGAATGAGAAGTTTTGGCGTGTTTTCATACCGGCCACACTGGGTCCTCCCTTTAACTCGAGAACACCGACGTAATCGCCTTGAGTGGTGCAGACAACGGTCACTCTGGGATCAGGAATGGAACAGTATTGTCTTTAGTGACGAGTCTCGATTTTGTTTAGGCATGCACGATGGTCGTGCCAGGGTTAGAAGGCGACGTGGTGAAAGGAGGAATCCACAGTTTTTTGTTGAAAGACATGTTCATCACAATGTTGGAGTTATGGTTTGGGGTGCTATAGCTTATGGTTCCAGGTCACCTTTAATCTTCATCAGAGGTAACATGAACGCGCAGCGTTATATCCACGAAGTTCGAGAACCCCCTTCTTTTACCATATCTTGACACCCTGGCAGATCCAACTTTCCAACAAGATAACGCCCGACCACATGTTGCAAGAGTCACAATAGACTTCTTTCAACATAATGATGTCCCATTGTTACCATGGCCACCAAGATCTCCCGACTTATCCCCAATTGAGCACGTGTGGGACATGATGGGTAGGAGATTGCTCAATTTGCAACGTCCTCCTCAGACTCTAGAAGCACTTCGAGAGGAGTTGGTGGTTGCCAGAAATGAGATACCACAGGAGGACATTGACCACCTGATCAGAAGCATGCCTAGGCGCGTTGGAGAATG